CCCCCCCCCCCCCCCCCCCCCCCCCCTCCCCTATTCGTCACCTCGGCCAACTCGTTACCCACCGCTCGGTCGTCGCGCTATCCCCCTCCCTCTATCCCCCTGCCCCTCTCCCCCTTGCCCCTCCCGCTAGTCGACCTAAACTACGGCCGATGGCGATGACCGGGGGAGGGCGATAGGCGGTATCGGGCAGAGTTTTTTACAGTAAAACAGCCACTACCTGAGTTTCTGCAAGCAGGGGGAAGACTCCTCGGATCCGCCAATGTGTGAGGCTTAAGAGTCCGAAATGAACGAGGACTAATTTCACACATTTGAGATGGCAATGAATTGAATAACCATCAAAAAAAGTAAAAATTCAGCAACTCAGCAAATGTCCGGAAGAAAAGCACTGCTCACAGCAAGTAACATCTGAAGCATTCAAGCACGATACAGCTGTTTAAGTAGTCTGGTCCGCGAGTTAAATGGATTCCAACAGTGCTAGTAGATGTGTCGCCTGCCTATGACCTCGACTTGTGTAAAAAAAATTTCAGATTTTCCAATCATGCACTGTCATATCCCAAGAAAATTTCAACCTCCCAGATCAGCTAACTCTCGAAATCGCTTTTCCCAAATAAAAAAAAAAAATGATTTGACATGCTTGTGCGCGTGATACAAGTGTACGCGAATACTCATTCCTCGTGTACAGACTCTCACGGATACAGCAAATATTCTCCTAAAATCAGAAGAATCTACTCCGCCTACTAGCCGAGTTGGAATTTTGCCAGCTACTGCGAAATCGTAAATTCGACGTGTCCGCACACATGACGTGCGCGTGCGTCCAAGCTAAGGTTAAAAATCTTTTGCTCATATAAGAATATCCCAGCGAAGTTTCAGCTTCCTACTTTGTGTGGGTCCTGAAATCACTTTCCCGCCAAAAAATCTGGGTAAATCTCTTAAGAAGTTCATACGTGGAACCCAAGTGTACATGAACGATGATTTTAAAGATGGAGCATCACACATGGAGCGGAGACACACATCAGAAAATTTAGCTTCTTAGTTTCGCTGGTTGATGAGTTGATTTTTTCTGGAGGATATTCCCATCCCTTGTGAGTTGCTCCATCTCTAAAATTATCGTTCTTCTACACCTCTGTCTCACGTACTGACTCCGTGAAAAATTTATAAAAATTTTTTTGGTGGGGAGCGATTTCGGAATTCGAGCAATCTAGGAAGGCATAAATTTCACAAGGATAGTCTGTGTCCTTATATGAGCTAAAGATTTCAAACTCGCTTCGATCGCACGCGTACGTGATGTGCATGGACGCAACAAAGTTGCGATTCGCAACGACTGGCGAAATGCCAACTCGAGAACTAGATTGCATAGGCCCTCCAATTTCAGGAGAGCTTTTGCTGCCCACATATGTAAGTTCTCCCCTATAGGTTAAATGAGCACTCCCGTATACCTGTACCACGCTGTATGTCAAACTATTTTTGAGGGAAAAGCAACTTCGAGAGCTAAATGAGCTAGGAAACTGAATTCTCCTTGTGATAAGATAATGCGTGACAAAAATATTTGAAATTCATCTTATACACAAGTACAGATCTCGATTATGCGCAGGTGGCACTTCCAGTAAAAGCACTGTTGGCATCCACTTAACTCACGATTCAAAATGCGTGGGCAGCTGTACTTTTATGAAGATATCCACTGTTCATGCACAGAACTGGCATCTGCGACTCACCCCGTCCAAATCATCGCGCTGCACAAGAAACTAATGCAAAAGCGTATTGTAATTTTAATTTTAGATGATGTGTGTTTATGTAAAAAGTAAGGGAATAAAAAGGAATGTGAATAAGTTAAATCGGAATAAAAAGTTAAATCGTATTGCCATAAAAGCGCATCGGTACGCGTCGTCAATGATTACATTTGTCTAAACATGCAAAAAACACATAAAAATAATAAACGCATGGCAACTTACAGCGCAGACGATGCAAATTATCTTCTTTCTTGATGATAAATTTTTTGCTTGTTTTGTGAACGCCGTTACCATCGTTGATTTCGCTGCTACTGACATCGGTGCTGTCTGAAACATGAGAAGCCATCAGTTCACTATACAAAGATTTCGTTATAAAAAAGTTAAAATCTGCAAACTGCCCGAACAATCAGTGCGGTCAAGGTATTATAAAAGGACTGAAAGGTTGGCACTTGTTGAATTCGCTGCTATCAGAACTTTTCGAAAACATGCATAAAAATCCATTAAAAGTTACCGTATGCTCTTTCGCTCTAATACTTACTCGCTCGCAAGCATCAACAAATAATAAACAGGAAGAGGCATAGTAATACTTATAAACAACAGAAATAATACTCAGAAAAAACGATGGAAGGAACCTGTAGGGTTTGAGACGTGGGTTCCACCGAAACGACATCAGGTTGAGGAAAATCGCTGCTGGTAACAGTTTCGAGATCAACTGAAATTTTACGATATTCTTCAAAAATTTGCACTAAAACACTTCTTCTTTCTTGAATCATTCATTATCTGAATTCGGGAAAAAATTTAGGAAAAAACCATACCGTTGCATGTAGCCGGTGCTTGAGCCTTTTTCTCAAATTTTTGCTTAAATTCACCATATGGTGTTAAGTCCAGTTCCTGGTTCACGTTTACTGCAAGAGGTGAAAAAAACGTAAAACTGGGTGGATTGTATTCCATGATTCCGATTGCACGACGATTATCTGTAAAAGAGACAAAACAAAACATACGATTTCAGAGTCACAAAAATCCACAAAGCGAGTTTGAAGCAGCCCCTTTCATGAGTTTTTTTTTTTTTTTTTGAGAAAAATCAAATCTTAGCAGTGGTCTTCATTTAAGCCGTAGTTACTAAAGACCTGACAACGGCGTGATGAAAATTTCCTTAGTATTTAAAAAACTGACATTCTTACTTAACTTTTTCCAAACTTTTTTTCCAATCCATTTTTTAGTACAATGGCCAGCGGGAATTTATAGAGACGGGAACGATCTGATAAAAAAATGCGAAGTAACAAATCAAGAGAGACAGCATAAATTCAAAAACTGCGGAAAAGATGTCAAGATTTCTCTTAATTCACTTTTTATGAGAGGTGAAGGCATTCGGAAGTACAGGTGTCAAAATCTGCTAGCAGTAGTCCTCTTTTAAGAGTAGCCCAGAAACACGCTGACAGTGCTGGCAGTTACTAAAACTGTCTCGGGTCGCAGCACCGGAGATTTTGTCAAGATAAGGTCCTAGTTGCTGGATTCAAGACTGTCAACTTTTTCAAAAAAATTGAAATTTTCCGTGGCATTTAAATTGACATTTTCAATTTTATAGTTTTTAAAAAAGTAGTATTTTTGAAGAATTTTCAAAATATCAAAATTTTTGCAGAAGAAAAAATTAATCTCAGAAAATTTTCAAAACAAGTTCTTCTTTATAAGCTTCTCTTAAATAATCTTTCATACAAAATTTTCCAAAGAAATTACTGCTGCAAAACTGCTTATGCTTCCCCTATTAATTCGTCACCTTTTTCGGATCACACGTAAAAAATTACGCACCTGGGGCACTGTAATAAGCAAAAATGCCATGACGGAGCACAAAATGTCGTCGAAGGCTACTTATTGAGCAGCAACTTTCTGTACATTTTGGGCAGTAGATTCGATCAGCTGGTGAACAGTTTGGCTGTGAAAGACAGATGACCTGGAAATAGTTTAGACTGAGAGTAAATAAAGTTAAAAACAGGAAGAGACGGGGGGAAAAGCTTCCAACTATCGACTGGTTGAGCACGTAAGAATTTGACAGAATTACTTCCAGCAAATAAAAATTACACTTCCAAATACTAAATTCCTCTTCCCTCCTCCTCTGTTCTTCTCCCGACTCATTTTTTTCTGCCCCCCCCCCCTCCCTCTATTCCACCTGCTGCTG